AAACCCGCGTGCCGTATGTGGAGATCTCAAAGGACCGCCTTGCCACCTTTCAGTTCCAATGACAACCTTCTATTGGGTTGAGGCTGTAAGATGGCACTTGCATGATGTTGCTTAATGAATTCTGACCTCCCAAATGTTCCATGATAAGATTGATATTCTGGAATGCTTGTGCCACATCTTTTGCAGTTCGTCCCATGCTGCAACAGGCGGGTGCTCGGGGCATGTATCAAGCATTTGCAGTCCATTGCCACCCGAGAGAACAAGCCCATGTGTAAGACAATCTTTGTAACCAGATAACTACTGGAGTATGAAGTTTTGGTTGATCATGGAGTTAGGAGGACCAGGATTCATGGGGATGGCTGGCATAGGTTTCTTGATGAGTATGTAGTGCGGCCTGGTGACATGGTATATATCTGCCTTCCCCGTGGCAATGGAAGGTTTTTGTGGATGTCAAGAGGGATGGCGTAAGGCAGACGCCACCTCCCTATCTAGGTAAGGCTACTGCATTTAATACGGAAATGTGAGTTGTGTATCTTTTTATGAACAGTTTACTTTCGCTGAATAATGTGTGTTGGCTTATAAGTTTGATGTTTTGGCCAGCTTTGGATGGCCTATCCCTCATGAAGCGTGAGCTCGTCGACCATTGTGTGTACACCAGGGATATACATCAGTTTGAATATTCAGAGATGAAGAAGATGATTAGATGTGCATTCGGGGCTTTGGAAGACGTATGTTGCATCTTTGTGCACAAGATGAATGGCATCGACTTTAATAACGGCTACATGGTTAGTGACCCAATCCTGTTATACTGACATTTACATTTGTTGTTTTGTAATTCACGGTCTACGTATGTATGGCTGCTCACAACGTGTTGTTGTTGTTGTTGTTGTTTGCATTTGAAAGAGGATCCCGAGGAAAGCTGTTGATCTCATTGAGAGCAATGCGGGCGTCTTGGATGATTCAGGGATCGTTCTTCCGCTTGATGATGCAGGAGCCCATGTAACTGCATCGTTCAAGAAATCAAAGGAAGGTAGGCTCGTCATACAAGGAAGTTCTCAAAAATATGTCGTACAACTTGAAATGAAGCAGGAAGACGATCTTGTGGTCATCACGTTTGTTTCACAAATGCGTTGGGACCGCGTCCATGACTGTCCGGGTGTGCATCCTATCTTAAAACACCTATGTCGTGTTTAGTGTACGGTTGGGCCACAGACTATGAATCCCTTTGTGCTGACTTGGGTAATCGTGCCTCTTTTGTGAGCCTCGTGAATATGGAACTTGTAGCTCCTTATGTGTGGTATGTGACTATGTGACGTATGCACCTATGCATCTCTGTTGACTGCATATCAGCTTGGTTGGTGTGTTTTTACTAATGGCGTTTTGCTCCGCATTGCTTTACTACAAGTCCCATGATTCATCTGGTTTTGACGGATACTGTTTGCACAATAAGATGAATGTAAATCATAGACTAAGCTGCAATCTTGTCAATCCGCCTCACGTACTCACGAAAAACATGTGATTGGTACAACACTGGTAGATACCGCCACCAACCTCCCTTTGCTCTTGATTGTCGTATTCAGCATCATGTGCCTGGCACATGCACCTGCATATCATGTGCTTGATACGTTCCGGTATGCATATGATACGCTCCTTGTACCTTGTACATGGCCCGGTGACGTCTTGTGCTTTGTACACGACACGTAACTCCAGTTCACTCCACAGGCACTCGATTGCAAAGGCACGCCCAATATGTGCCAGGTACAAGGTGCAAATTGAGACTGCTGCAAATGTGCCATGCACCTCATTCAGTTTGGGTGTTGCCAAATCTCACGGGAGGCGGCGTGTGGTCCAGCCGACATTTCCCATGTGCCAGGTACATGTTTTAGCATGATGCTTTTCGTGTTTTCGTTAGAGCAACTCCAATGGGACGACCCAAACGTACGACGATTTCGTCCGCTTTCTGTCCGTTTGGGTCGGCCGCCTGCCCGGCGTCCGCTCTATTTTAAATATGGGTTGGTAGCGTGTCCAACGTGCCGATTCATATGTACCGGCGTGGCGGGTTGGCCGCCCTATTTCAATAAATAGCTCATTTTTGCATTGAATTTGCATTTAAACATATAGTCAAATAACATAGTTTGAACAGAATAAAATAGCATAGTTTTACAAACCGAATAAAAATAAAAGTGTCTCACATAGTTTTGCAAGCCGAATAAAATAAGATATATCCATTGGTTGCCAACATGAGCCCACATAGCCAAATAAAAATAAAAATGTCTCACATAGTTTTGCAAGCCGAATAAAAGAGGATATATTTATTGGTTGTCAACATGAGCCCACATATGCTCAACCAAATCATTTTGCAGTTGCACACGAGTTTCCCAATCACGCATGTCATGATGAAATTGGATGAACTGTTCAAACGTTGCCGCTCCTCCATGCTCAGACACAACATTCTCACCCTAAAACTGAAACCCTTGATTGTACAGATGTTTCGGGCGCTCGTCTTCTACGATCATATTATGCATGATCACACAAGCAGCCATCACCTCCCACATTTTCTGCGTGCTCCAGGTATTAGCAGTATACTGAACGATGCCCCCATCGAAATTGCAAAACACCAAAGGCATGCTCGACATCCTTCATAGTACTCTCTTGCTCCTGGGCAAATCTTTTCCTCTTCTCTCCGACAGGGTTTGGGATTGTCTTGACAATAGTGGTCCATTGAGGATAGATACTGTCACCCAGGTAGTATCCTTTGTCATAGTTGTGACCGTTGATAGTAAAGTTCACCGGTGGACTGTTGCCTTCGGCAAGCCTAGCAAACACCAGCGAGCGCTGAAGCACGTTGATATCATTGTGTGATCAGCCATGCCAAAGAAAGAGTGCCAGATCCAGAGATCTTGAGACGCCGTGGCCTCTAGTATGACAGTGCTAGCCCTGACATGGCCCTTATACTGCCCTTGCCAAACAGAAGGGCAGTTCTTCCACTCCCAGTGCATGCAGTCTATGCTGCCAAGCATCCCTGGGAAGTCGCTGCTGGCATTCATCGCCAACAAACGGGTTGTATCTTCAGGAGTCGGCTCTCTCAAATACTCATGGTCAAACACAGCAATAACAACCTTGCATAACTTATACACGGACTCTAGGCATGTAGACTCGCTCATACGAACGTACTCGTCAATGAGATCATCAGTCACTCCGTATGCAAGTATTCGGATGGCGGCAGTGCATTTCTGATAAGAGGAGAAACTAATCTTGACAACCACATCCTCTTTGCACTCGAAATAGTCATCATAGCCGACCACCCCCTCTCTAATATGGTTGAAAAGATGCCTACTCATACGGAAACGGCGGCGGAATTTTTGATGTTTGAACAACGGATTTGTTGTATCAAAGTAGGCCTTCCAAAGAAAGAAATGTCCGCTCTCGGTTGCGATTCAACGCCGGAAGGTGAACCGGAATGGAGCCACGGAACAACGGCCGCTGGTTGTTGAGGTGGTGATGGACCAACACGGCAACCAATATCTCCTCGTCATCATCGAATGACGAATCGTCGGAGTTGCAAAGGAAATTGTGAAAAAAGAACTCGTCGACGGAGTCCATTCTGTACTTTGGAAAACTATCGAACAGCTTGCGGGCGTCGACGAAGGAGACAGCCGGCAAAGGGAGTCGCCGCGCGCACAGACCAGCTAGTTGCCCTGCCAACGTCCGACGAGTAGGCCGGCGTCCGACGAGCGTGCCAGTGAGGATCTGGCCGGGGCGGCGAGGCGGCTTCTTTTGGTCGCGGTCGCGGCTGTGTGGTGGTGGGGTGAGCGGGGGTGGGAAGCAGTCGGCTCCCTGGCGGCAAGACGGTGGTGGCGGGCGACGTGGGAGTTGGCGGCGTTGCTGGGCAGATGTTGCGGCGCCGGTAGCTGGCGGAGTCGCCGGAAAAAAATGAGCGACGGCGTCGGCGACGAAGGAGGCGGGCAAGGGTTGCTACTGCATGTGAGGGGGAGGCCAATGTGCCACCGACCAGCGGGCCCGGGGGAGGAGAAGGCGAGCGTGCGCACGTTCGTCTCGTGTCTACATCAACGCAAATCCGGCTGAAAAATGAGCCGGGAATGGGCCGCCTGCGGACGGAAAGCGGGCGCGCGTCCGTTTGGGTCGGCGTGTTGGGCCGATTTTTGTGTCCGAGCCGACCCAAACAGACGCCAACGGACGAAATGAGTTACCCCGTTGGAGTTGCTCTTATGACTGATTTATTGAAACATAAGTTCGTCCAACCAACTCCAACTAATATTTAAAACAATGAAAATCATGCAACCAGTCGTTCATAACTTGACATCCATACCAAACAACTTATATTTTTGTCCATGGTTTGACATCATAATATATAGGTCCACATAGCCAATCTAGATCATTAACATACAAACACTTCGGCCCCAACAGAAACAGTCTCAGGCAAAAAATGCCCCCAAGAGACTTCATATTGTTACACCCTGACGTTCACTCGAAACTGCATGCTCTTTCATTCATCGATAGACTCGATGAACTGATGCGGCCTCCTTGCATTGTTCCCATTGAGATGCAATATGTCGTAAAGGTAACATGCTGCCAGATAACTGTCATCGTCCTGGATATGATTGTGGAGTCATGATCAAACAACTCACAGATGGTAGGAAAAGGAAATGATCAAGAAATTAGAACAGCTAACATTCCATTATATCTAATCCATTATATCTAATCGGTCTTAACGTTTACTAAATCAACATACTCACCACATGAATATTATGACTCGCTTGGTCGCCACTGAAATTCCTGCAGAAGTTATGGCGTAGAAACCATACAGGTGCCCGCAGGCATGATAGGTAGATATGATGATTTTCTGGATCCATAGAACATTAACCTTGTATAACATACGCATGTATAACAATAATAATTAAATGCTATATTCATGTAAATGGAACCTTGAGCTTTTTTTGATTACCTTGCGGACAATTGGCGCTTAGGATGAATAAACATCATGTTATGTTCGACACCGTGGTTTTCCTGCGAATATCTTGTTTCATCTTCCCGGCGGCAGCACACAATACTTCAACGATATATCTTCCCCAATTGAACTTATCCAAGCTATCCGGGTCAACCAGTGCGGACCAATAGTCGGTGTAGAAGTAGTCGTTCTTGACTGTCGGTGCAAATACATGTGTCATCATGAAAACGATGTACGTAGTTTTGAATGCAGCCACCTCTGCTTGTGACATCTTCCCCTTATAGTGACGTGACAGTGTGGACTGTATGCTCTTCAGACTTCTTATCTCCTTATTCTCTATCCCCAATCGAGCTCGCAAGTATGCAAAAACAGTCTCGCTCCTATCAAGGGTTTTGTCCATCGCATCTGTTCCAACTGCTGGCATTCTGAATACCTTCTCAACGTCGCTCTCGTTGAACTTAAAAACCTTATTCGGTCCCATGATAATGGCTTGTATGACTTCATCCACCATCCCTAAAAGCCAAACCATGTGCTAGACGCTTAACTTGCTGATCAGTTGCATGGATAGAGTGCCACCCCAACCCATCAAGGTAATGATGTCTCGTTTCTGCTGGTCAAACCATGATATAACAAAGTAACACTGAATGGAGGACCGTTATATCCATCCCCCCTGTCTGATTCGTCCTCTTCAACGATCGTGGCAGCTTGTTGAGCTTGCTGTAGTTCTGCACAATAATATCATTGATTTAATGTAGAATTCTACAAGACGGATAAACAAAAATCGTTGGTTTCTATACTACGGCTATGTCCCGACGTACACCTCGGCGCATCCCATACACCAAAGAAAGCTAACTATATACCTTCATTCATGTACGATGGCAAACGTATCAGCTAATCTGTTCTAACCAAGCCGCCTGACCAGGTATCGACATGACAACTATACATATTGTGTAATTCGTTTGCATCCTCGGACCCCTTCCCAGAAATACAGATCGACAATCAAGATTAATTCTACATGCCATCTTACCAGCATGATGACTGCTTAGATGTGAACACCTGACAATAATTGCTGCCCCAACCCCGTTCCCAATCTGGCCTGCAGAACAATGTGATCCATGAATAATCACCTTCCTGATATGCACCGAATGCCAAAAAAGATCCCGACAGTCAAACAACCTATGCGCATATCTGAAATCACGCATTTACCTGAGATGGATCCATACTCCAGGAGGCGGCGAGATGACAGGGGCGGCGGTGCCCGCTGCGACCCGCGCTGGATTCCCCCGGCGGCCCGGCGGAGGATTTCCCCGGTGGCCCGCCCGTCCTGGCGCCTCCTCTTGTACCAGAGTCTCCTGCCTCCCGCTCAGATTTGGATTTCTACCATGCTCTGCCACTGATGAATCCCCCTCCCCCGCCGCCTAGCCTGCTCAATAATGGTACAAGGGGGAACACGTATGGACCAGAGTCACGGGCCTGCTTCTGGAGTATCTCCAACCTGTTTGTCACTGAACAGTAGCCTAAGCTGAGATGTAGGCAGATCACGGTCGAGGGGAGTACTAACCCAAGCGATATAACCGTCGTCTGACTGTCTTACGGAAACGTCTGCCGCATATCCCGAGGAATATGGACGTACCAGATAAGCGGGCCGGGGTGCACATGCTCTGTTATATATTTTCGCAAGAATACGTCCAACTTGTACGCACTCAGCGTGTGTGGTAGGACCACGGAGATGTCCGTAACATGTACATCATAGTCAAACTGGACCAAACTCGGCCCATTCTTGGAGTCACTGATGACGGGGCGCCATCGTTGCTTCGCTTGGACGGGCAACGCACCATGCTAGTGATCTGGACACGCCGGACTGACAACGTGAGTGGAGTTAGCAACACAGACCGTTGGCATCGCACCAAGATGATCGAGTTACAGCCACCCGAGTGGGGCAAGATGGACCAGCTGCAGTGCGTGTGCGCGGGCGAAACGAGCGGCATACTGCTCATCAAGGACAATCAAGAAGACATGTACATCATAGATCTCCAAACAGGGGCAATGGAGGCGGTCACGAACTGGTTTCGCGGCATTGTCATGATGGCTATCCCTTTTGAGATGGACTGGCCAGCCTTCTTCACGCGCCGCTTGGCAAACACTAGGGTCAAGCGAACCAAACCGAGAGGAGCTCTATCGAAAATTGGAGGAGTTCTATCAAAATTTGCTGACCCTTTTTGGGGGCCAATAGTTGTGTCACTTATCATTGGGTCAATTGCTATGAGCTGGGCCTAGTAAGATCTACATGAATCTAAGTTCTGGACGGAAGGTTTGACAAACTTGCAAGTTAATGAAGTAACCTACATATTGGATACAGCATTGAGCATGGTGCAGCGTCAACGTTCAACAGAGGCAACGTTTACGATGCTCATCCACATCAAGAAGACTTCTCTTTTACTTTTAAATCACTCTTGTTTTTCTTCTTCTTCTTCGTCGAAAGGCCATTGGCCGAACTTTATTAGATAGAAAAGAGAGTACAACAAGGATAGTCTAGGAAACTTAGACTGAACCCAGAGTTTACAAACAGCCCTGCCAAGGGTCGGCCTCCAAAAAACAGAGGTGCCCCCGCTACAGCAACGATCTCGGACCACCCAGGTGAGGGCCGGTCTTGCAAAACATGAACACCCCCACAGCAACTAAGTTGGCAGATCAACGATGCATCCGGTGGCCCTCCACATGGCCACATCTTCTACTACCCGCTCCAGAACGCCGGACGGCGAAGCTGCCACCTGGTCAAAGATCCTGGAGTTTCTTTCTTTCCATATCCTCCAATGCATCAAGATCACCACCGTGTCAAAATTCCTTCGGATGTGCTTGGGAATGACAGCCCTGGTCTGCAACCACCACTCCCGAGTGGAGGCAAAGGTGTTATCGGGGATAAGGAAATCGGCGCCGGTCCAAGATCTGAAGCGCGCCCAAACTTGTTGTGTAAAACGGCAGTGGAGAAACAAGTGGGTGCAGTCTTCCGGCGCTTGAAGACACAAGGGGCAGACTCCGTTGGAAGGCCAATTCCTTTTCTGCAGATTGTCCGCCGTAAGGCAACGACGGTGCACCACGAGCCACATGAAGAATTTGCCGTGGGGGGGCGCCTTGGATTTCCAAATAGGCTTGTAACAGTCGAAGCGAACGTTGCCCAAAAAGAACAGACGGTATGCACTTTGGACAGAGAACTGCTGGTTTTCCATCAGGAGCCATCGCGGCGTGTCTCTCGCCTCAGGATTTAACATAGTGGCGTGTGCAATATCCTAGACCAAGAGGTACTGAGAAATGGCAGGGAGGGAGAGCCCACCCGCAATGTCATGTACCCAAGCCTGCCAGGTTAGTGCCTCCTTGACAGATCTCCCCCTGTCCTTGACAAAGGAGTAGAGTTGCGGTGATGTTTGAGCAATTGAGCGGCCGGTGTCCAACCACTTATCAGTCCAAAACTTGGCTACCTCTCCTGACCCGAGCGTGATGCGGCAGGCTGCATTGAAGATTGCGTGGACCTCCTTCTCCTTAGTATCAGGCAGGCCATGCCACGGCCTCTCCTCTGCACTCCAACGTAACCAAGGCCATCTGCAGCGCAGCGCGAACGCAAACCATTTGATATTCAAAACACCCAATCCTCCGAGCTCCCGCGGCATGCACACCCTGCTCCAAGGCATAAGGCAATGGCCACCACTAGTCTCCTCCTCCCCCTTCCAAATAAAACCACGACAGCGGCGGTTGATAGTCTTGCCCAGGCCGGCAGCGGGAGCGCTGCCATGATGTGCATGGGCAGTGCCATGAGGACTGAAGAGGTGAGCGTGAGCCGGCCTGCAACTGCCAACATCTTCGGTTTCCAGCCCTTCATCTTGTTCGAGAGCTTATCAACCAAGGGCAGCAACTCATGCCGCTTGAGCCTGTATATTGATAGAGGTATACCGAGATATAAGATAGGAAAGGCCTGTTGCCTGCACTAGAAGTGTCCAGCTACCTCTGCAGCCTGCACCTCATCACATCGTATGCAAGTGATGGTGCTCTTGTGCATATTGATCCGAAGCCCCGACGCCTCCCCAAAGAGCTGCAGAAGGGTTGATATAAGCAGGAGATCGTTACGCTCTGGCTTGAAGAAAAGAACCGCGTCATCGGCAAAAACAGATGCACGCGGCACCCCTCCGTCGCAGCCAAGATCGGAGAGAAGATGGCACTGCCTTGCCCATTCCAACATGCCGTGAAGGGCGTCCATAGCCAGAATGAATAAGGCCGGGGAAACTGTTGGGGAACGTAGTAATTTCAAAAAAAAAATCCTACGCACACGCAAGATCATGGTGATGCATAGCAACGAGAGGGGAGAGTGTGATCTACGTACCCTTGTAGATCGACAACAGAAGCGTTTGGTTGATGTAGTCGTACGTCTCCACGGCCCGACCGATCAAGCACCGAAACTACGGCACCTCCGAGTTCTAGCACACGTTCAGCTCGATGACGATCCCCGGATCCGATCCAGCAAAGTGTCGGGGAAGAGTTCCGTCGGCACGACAGCGTGGTGGCGATCTTGATGTACTACCATCGCAGGGCTTCGCCTAAGCACCGCTACAATATTATCGAGGACTATGGTGTAAGGGGGCACCGCACACGGCTAAGAATATGATCACGTGGATCAACTCATGTGTCTAGGGGTGCCCCTTGCCTCCGTATATAAAGGATCCAGGGGGGGTGCGGCCGGCCCTAGTAGGAGGCGCACAGGAGGAGTCCTACTCCTACCGGGAGTAGGACTCCCCTCCCTTTCCTTGTCCAAGTAGGAGAGGTGGAAGGAGAGAAGGAAAAGGGGGGGGGGCGCCGCCCCTCCCTCCTTGTCCAATTCGGACTAGGGGGAGAGGGGGCGCGCGGCCTGCCCTGGCAGCCCCTCCTCTTCTCCACTTTAGGCCCATGAGGCCCATTAACCCCCCGGGGGGTTCCGGTAACCCCCCGGTGCTCCGGTTTTATCCGAAACTTCCCCGGAACACTTCCGGTGTCCGAATATAGCCATCCAATATATCAATCTTTATGTCTCGACCATTTCGAGACTCCTCGTCATGTCCGTGATCACATCCGGGACTCCGAACTAACATCAGTACATCAAAACTCATAAACTCATAATATAATTGTCATCGAAACCTTAAGCGTGCGGACCCTACAGGTTCGAGAACAATGTAGACATGACCGAGACACGTCTCCGGTCAATAACCAATAGCGGAACCTGGATGCTCATATTGGCTCCTACATATTCTACGAAGATCTTTATCGGTCAGACCGCATAACAACATACGTTGTTCCCTTTGTCATGGGTATGTTACTTGCCCGAGATTCGATCGTCGGTATCTCAATACCTAGTTCAATCTCGTTACCGGCAAGTCTCTTTACTCGTTCCGTAATACGTCATCCCACAACTAAATCATTAGTTGCAATGCTTGCAAGGCTTTATGTGATGTGCATTACCGAGAGGGCCTAGAGATACCTCTCCGACAATCGGAGTGACAAATCCTA